TTGTGTCTGTAAGAGGTTTCTTACAGCAGTCTTGTTTCCAATGGTCTTTCTGACAGCAGTCAAAGTGTTTGAGAACACTAAGGGGAATCTCTTAATTTACTGTTCAGATGCTTTCATCGAATTTACACATACACAGAGATTAAATGCTGGCAGTATTTATGGATTAAAATGTAAAGGTGGTTTTCCTTGAAATTTTCTAATTACAGTTCTGTATAAGAAACTCTAAAAAGATAAACTGGAAAAAATTATTTTCTTGATTTTCAGAGCATATTTTTAATTGGTTATTCCACCTTAAAGTTCACTCATCCTTTCATGACATATGGGAGCCTTATCTCTGCAGCTTCTGGTTTTTGGGAGAGTGAGGAGCCTGATCAGATAAGAGCGAGAGAGAGAACTCTTACTGTGATTCAGTGCATTTTGTCAGCATCTGCCTGTCTAATCCAGTGTGCTTATGTTTCTTAGGGGAGAAGCAGAAGTGCTCTATAATAAAGAATAAAATATAAAAAGGAAAAAAAATCAGTGAGAGGAGAATGTACCCTCTCTTTTAGCATATTTTTGGTAATATTTTTCAAAGGCTTAATAGGCCATCTTATCCATAAAGAAGAAGTTAAAGACTGCTGATTTTGTCCTTCTGTGTGGCAGAGTGAGAGAATGGTTAGCACAAATGGTTTTCAATTTTTATCACTTTTGGTGCTGAGGAGTCCAGATTGCTGAAAGCATGGCTATTGTCAGAAAAACAGCTGTGGGAAAAAGGCGTCTTTGAGCATGATATTTGAAATTTAGAGATGATTTATTTTTTTGAAGACATGCATTTGAATTTAGATTGCTGGTGTGTGGCTTCAGGCTGGGATGAGTTAGCCCTGATAATACAGCAAACTGCCCAGAGGAGGGAGGAGCTGACAGCACTGTTCAGATAGTAACTGATGAGGTTCTTAGCTGGAGGCTGTCTTAAGTAAGCTAGAGGCTTGTTAAAAAAAAAAACAAAAAAAACCAACAAACCAAAACCAACAAACAACCTACATAAAATCTTTGTTTTCACTATTCTCAGCTAAGTGTAGCTTAAATTTCTTTATAAGCTGGATTCACTTCTGGCTGATACATCACAAATGTGTTTAGAGAAAGATTCAGAGGACAAACTGTTTTCACTCTGTGTAGTGTTGTATGACTGACTTCCTGCTTGCATCTGGAGTAGGCTGGGCTGACAGTGGGGAAAAAATTGTGTAGGTTTTTTTGGTTTGTTTCTTAAGAGAGGACTGTGCAAATCAGATGTGGACTTTTACATACAATTACACTAATTAAAGGGTTGCAAATGCAGCATGTTAACATTGTAGTAGGGTAAAAAAGCGGTACTTTGACTGTGGGGAGTCTCATTTCTGTTTGCAGCAGGCAGCTCTCTGGAGAAGGATATGGAGATGCTGGTGGACAAGGTGTCCAGCAGTGCCCTTGTGACCAAGAAGGACAATGGCATCCTGAGCTGCATTAAGAAGAGCACTGCCAGAAGGTGCAGGAAGGTGATCCTTCCTCTCTGCTCAGCCCTGGTGAGGCCAGATCTGGACTGCTGTGTCCAGTTATGGACTCCTCAGTATAAGAGACATGGACCTCCTGGAGCAAGTCCAGCAAAGGGCTACAAAGATGGAAGGGACTGAGCATCTCTTTTGTTAGGAAAGGCTGAGAGCTGGGCCTGTTCAGCCTCAAGAAGAGACAAGTGAGAGAGGACCTCATCAATGTATTTAAGTATCTGAAGGGAGGGTACCAAGAAGGTGGAGCCAGGCTCTTCTCTAGGGTGCCAAAGCAATAGGACAAGAGGCAATGGGCAGAAACTGATGCATTGGTTGCTCCACCTGAACATGAGGAAGACCTCCTTTACTGTGCCAATGAGTGCCCACTGGAACAGTTGCCCTCAGAGGTTGCAGAGTCTGTCTCACTTTTGGAGATACTCAAAAGCTGTCTGTACTCAATCCTGAGTAATGTGCTGTAGGGAACTCTGTGTGAGAAGGAAGGTTGGACCAGATGACCTCCAGTGGTCTCTTTCAATACCAGCCATTCTGTGGTTCTGTGAAGCAGTCCTGCATCACTGGGTGCCGAGCTCCATTCAACTCCCATATGTTAAAAAGCACAGGTGTAGTAGAATCCATGGGACCCAGCATTGCTGTGCTTTCATCTTGAAGAGCCAAGAACATGCCCATGTCATATCACTGTCTGATTTTATCTGTAGTTTTTCTTGTAGAATACCAGTGAGAAAGACTTCTGTGCTTTTAAAAAGGGTATAATGGAAAGAGAAAAAACTTGGAGAATGGTCAGAGTCCTCACAATTCCTCAGGTTCCCTGGCTTGGCCTGCTAAGGCTCATCACAGCAGCAGCAGTGTCTGGGCTGTGTGGAGGGGATGCCCAAACTTGTCTCTGCTTCACACTGCACCTCAGTCCTGCCTTGTCTCCAGCCTTGTTCTCTGAGATGTCCATCTTGCTGTCACTCTTGCAAAGGTGGCTCTGCTCCTGCTGTTCCTGGCTGAAATCCAGCACTAGATGCGGGGCACTCATGGGAATCACATTTGCCAATTTATGACTTCCAACAACAGATTGGTTCACTTGTATTGATTACCTCATGTAGATGTTATGTAGGTCTATGTGTTAGGCTTCTGTAGATCTTCAAAGTTAGTGGCTCCCTCAATGTCCCTGTGAACAGCATGCCATCTACTACTGCATATTGTACATGATGTTATTGTCTTGTTGTACTGGAGTAGATGAAAATCTTCAAGAAGTGCTATGGGGGAAAATCTGGAAGTACCAAAAAAGATCAAGTGAGCTGACAGTATAACAAGAACAACAGAATTTGTAAATGTGGATGTTCAAAGTGAATAATGCAATGAGTAAGCACAACTAAGTAATGCTGCAGAGGGTTTCTCAGTTAGAAATTGTAATTTTGTTCTTTTTAAGAGTGTTTCTGAGTTGAAAGTTAGTTGCAATTGTTTTCTTTTAAAGCATGCATATAAAATCTCACATAATGTAAGTGGCGAATGTGGTCTTTATATACTGCAGGTGAAGCTGAAACTTGTGTGACTTGACATATGCTTTCAACTCTGCTTTGTAATTGACTTCAGAAAGTTACATAAAATCTCAACCCAGTTCCTGCTCCATTCAATTGAGTGATGATAACCTAGAGCCTAATTCTTCAGTGCCTTGAAATCATGACCAAGAAGTATTGTGAAGATGCATATTTGTGGAAGTAATTTGAAGTGCTATAATTTGAAAATGCCTTACCCTTCATCAATTGCGCTGTTTAATTGTTTCTACATCTAATAATTTTGCTTAGAGAATTTATTTCATTTCCTGTTTAGCTCAGAACCTGGTGCAATGGTGTAGTGTTTGTCTTCTAGGAAGACATGAGGTTTAATAGGGGTTAAAATAAGTTTATTTTGATTTATTAAATGTATTATCTTTAAATATAAAACAGGGTCTAAATTGGTCTGAACATGCCTTTAAAGCATGATCTATATATATTGTTTAACTCAACTTTGAACTGTATTACTGAATTTCCAAATTGGTGTATGCATGTACATATGCATTTTTGCCCACTTGTGTGTGTGCATGCATACCTTATAAAAGAAAAAAAATGAATGCCTCTGGATTGATGTAGATTATTCAACCTTGGTTTCTTACATGTTTTCTTAAAGGGGATATGTCAGCTGCTTTTGGCTCTAGTGATGGATGCCATGTTACCACTGTAGCCTTTTCACTGCTGAGAAAGGACAGAGCTGGGATGTGGTCTGAGCTTGTCTGATTCTAGGCTCTTGACTTGTCCTTGGGAGCTGATAACTGACAGCTAGAATGGCTCAGGGATGTATTATACATATAATTGCATGCTATGTATGTATATTATATGCTGGGGCACGTTGTTGCCTGTGGCAATGTGAAAGAGGGTAAAGGAAGGAATAGGAAAGTATCTTTTTCCTTAAGTAAGGGAGACAGTCTAATGGTGAGCTGTATTTTAGAAATTAACACATAGGTTATGCTTGTGTGAACATAGATTTTTTTTTTGTTCTCAGTTTTTAATGAAATACGTTGAGATGGGATATTTCAGTATTTTCAATGTTAAAGAAATTGAACTTGTCAGACAGTTTTAATGCCAATGTCTGTACAAGGCAATGTTACTTCTTAGGTTAGGAAAGGTCACCACACGGCTCCACAGCAGCCTCTAATTTAAATGTTACTTGTCAAATGTGCTGGTGGAAGAAAAACTTAAAATATAGCATTTGACTGCACCAGGCCCCCCCCCCTTTTTTTTTTTAAATAATGCTTTTGCCTCAAGGATGGCATGACCTGGAGGACATGAGGCAACAGTTCCGGTTCTGTGCTTCTAGAAGATAAGGAGTATTGTGTGGTTGTCTGCCTGTATCCTGTTACCTCTTGCTGGCTGTGTCATGAGAAGAGGTGAGGGAAGCTGTTTACTCCGAGCAGGCAGCCATGCCTCCCTGGTTCTTGGCTGCTGCTCCGGGGTTGTGGAGAGCTGGAAGGGGCTTGGTGTCTGCAGGCGAGAGCTGTCAGTGTGCCTGACAGTCTGCTGCACCCGCCTGTTACAGTGGGGTTTCACTCTGCCTCACAGCAAGGTGCCTTGGCTTTTCTTTGTAGGTACCTCAAAGCTTCTGGAACAGTCAAGGCTGTTTGTGCTGTATAGTGAGGAAGGGAAGTGTGTGAAGTATTAATTGGATAGTCTTCTATTGAATAAGGGCTTATGATAAAAGTTCAGAACTGTGGGAGAAATGTGTGTATGTGATGACCCAAACCACAGCTGTGTGTGACTTGGTGGTCCTTGTCCTTGGGATGTTATCCCATAAACCAATGAATTCTGACACAGTGTGACAAAATCCTGCATGGGGTGAAGACCCATGGAGTGTGATTCCCTCTGTACCATCCTTGTATGTCTGCCTGGGAGGCAGTTGCATGTCCTTGCCATGCTCCATTGCAGCCTGGAGTGATGCTGACTTTTGCTCCTGTCCTTGCAGTCTGAGCGACGAGAGGCAAACATGGCCCAAGCACCCACTGATCCGAGTAGTGCGGAAACTGCTGACCCAGAGGAGAGTTCTCCAAACATGATAGTCTACAGAAAGGTAAGGATTTGGACCTGTGGCAAAAATCCTTTTTCAGTGTGGTTGGCTCGTAAAAGAATCCCATGCCCCTTTTGAAGTCAGAGATATATTTGACTGTTTGGATGCATAGCTGAGAGTTTTCAGAAAAGTGTTGCAAACTATAGCATTTGAGAGCTTGGAGGTTGAATTCTGTTCAGTGGAAGCACTTGAGGTTGTTAGTATGTATTATTTGATGACAAGCTAATAACTTGAAATTTGTAACTTTTAGTCATATGACTTCAGGTAATCGTTCAAGTTTACTGCAGCTAGATAAAATAAGCGTACATATCTTCCAAGTTCTATCATACTAAGCACAAAGCAGCCTCTATACAGCAGTCTTTCAGTACTTTTTTTCCTATATTCGTACTGTGTTTCTTGTTCAATAATTAGCAGTTTGATTCTTTATAGGTCATTTTTCTTACTTCCCATGCCTTGCTTAAAGGAAAAAAAAGAGTGTTTTCTCAAGTGCTAGGGAAAAATGAATTAGACAAAGGTGAAACAACAGCAATGCATGATGTTAGAGAGCATTTTTCCACCATGATAAAATGTCTTATTCTGAAGTACTTTGGAGGTAGCATAAAAGATGAAGGAAAGCTATCTATTGACCCATTTGCAAAGGCATTCTTTTATTTTGGGGTAGGTGTATCCTTCATCTTGGAAAATTAGTATTTTTGTAGTTTAATGAAATAATGTAAATACATTTTATTTAGTCTGCAAAATATTTCTTATGTAGTATGCAGATAGAAATTTCTAGCACAGCTTAAATAAGCGACTATTCTGTTAACTTAGGGGCTACACTGCTAGCTCAGATCAGGTTTCCTTGTGTAGTATGATCCTGGGTAAAATTACTGAAATGTGTTGGAGGTACACAGTTATGTTTTCTGCTTGTTTGACTGCAATCTTGATGACTTTCATAGTCATGAGAAAATAATTTAGGTTTTGTATGGAGCATGAGTTGTTTAAAGTGTTACTTTTTGATATCCATAATTTTGGTTTAGTTGTTGTGTATTTGGTTTGGAATCTGGAATTGTTAACATGGGAAAAATTTCAGGGTAATGTGTAGGCTTGTTTGTTTTGAATGTGTTATGAACACACTTTGGCTGCTAATTTGGAAGTAGCACTAGTTGGTTAGTCAGATTATTTTTTTCCAACCTGTTTGTTGAGAAGTCCAACACCCCAGTAGGCTGAAGTAGATACAGGATGTGAAGAAAATGTCTGGTTGCATGATCTAGAATTAGGGCATTAAATCTGTGACTTTGCAGAGTATCCACTTACCTGTTCTTGAAAACATTATTTTATTTGTGTGCCTCACTTTCTGTTCATCTCGTGGCATTACTAATTTAGGATTTCTCCATTTCTTTGCCTTTCAATATTTCCTTATTTTCATGTAGAATAGAGGTTGTGAGTTCTATGGTATATTCATCTCGTGGCATTTCTACTTTAGGATTTCTCCATTTCTTTGCCTTTTCAATATTTCCTTATTTTCATGTAGAATAGAGGTTGTGAGTTCTATGGTATCAATGGGGAATATACTCATACCATTTGATTCATCTCTTCTTACTGGCTTTTCTCTGATGTCAGTATTACCAGTCTTTCATAATACAGTCACCTGTCAAAATACATAGTTGTCTTTTAGAATAGCATGCCCCATGCATTGTGCCTGTATTGTCAATTTTAAGCTAACACATCTGTTAGGTTTTTTTGCTGAGTGTTTCTGTTGCTTTGTGAACAAAAACCATGGATATTACCTATTTTTGAGAGTAAATTTTCATTGGTGATTGACTTCCTAAATGTAACTTACATTATTTTAGATATTAGTTTGAATATTGGTAGTTGGTATTATTTGATATTTTGATATTAGTTTGGTATTAATTATATTTATTACACATCAATTTTATGTTCCTTAGTGTTGAAAAATCATATACAAAATCTGAGACAAGACTATTATTCTTTTGATTATCTCTGCTCTCTTCAAATGAATGTTTAGCTCTTCATCTTTCATTTGCTTTCAAATGGCTTGATTGCCAGTAATGAATGAGAAAAACACTGCACTGGACTCTCTGAAATATTGAACACAGTCTGCCAGAATACCCTACAGTTCAGGGTTGGTACTGTGTCACAGTAGAAGGAAAGGTTTGCTTCTCTCAGCAGGGATTCCAAGGTGCAATTGTAGATCCCCCTTAGGAAGAAGAAATAAGGGTGGTCTTTAACATTGGAACCACAGTAAATCCTGCTCTGAGTGTGAGCTGTTTTGTTGCTTATCATAACTGTCATGTTTGAGGGTTTTGGGGGAGAACTAAGTAGAACCTGAGATTGTTAATACTTTCTTTAATACTTTGTTTACTGAGAGTCTCTGGGGTCTGTTTGAAGTTCATGTTCCAGCAGCTTTTTTGTAGCCTGGTTTTCTTTTAGTCACTAATGAAAGGTAGAGACATTTAGAGGACAAACCAGACTTAGGTGGTATTGAGTGTACCTTTGGACCAACCTCTCTCAGTTTTCTTTATGGAGAAAAGCCTGGAACAGACTGTGCTCTAAGTGGGATGGGTTTTGGTCATGCAGAACAAAATAAACTAATTTATTTTGACTCTAGACTGTGCTTTCTTTAGGTAGGTAAAACTAAGTGGGAAGGGTTTTGGTCATGCAGAACAAAATAAACTAATTTATTTTGACTCCAGTTACTTTATGATATTCTCTATGGACTCCTGCAAGCAAATGAATTCTAACTGCTTTGATTGCTACAGCAGATGGTCTCAATGAGATAAGTCTTACTTTCTTCTACCTTCAGTGTTAACCTTTCAGGTGTTGATATTTATCAATTTGTGAGGTACATTATGTTTTAAATCCAGGATACTCAATGTTGCTCCACTGTTTCGGATGACACCTGTATGTGAATTAAGCAGTGCAGATGCATTTGTTACAGTAACCAGTGTTTAGGATATGATTTGCCTCAACCTACCCTTGTTAAGATGAAATGTAGCCCAGACTACATGAGCTGTGTTGACCAGGTCTCCAGTGGCAGCCATGGGTACCTAGCTGTCAGGTTCTTACGTTATAGGATAGACGTTTCTAATTAAGCAAGCTGCATTCCACTCTTGTGGAACTGTGTGTTCTCTCGTCTCTCTGTGCATCTCAGTGCTGAGTTCTGGGCTCTCAGAGGGCTGCAGGAGGGGTGGGCTGTCATTTAGCTGTGTGGCACAGTGGTAGCCAGCGGAGGTGTAAGGGTGCTGCAGATACTGCATTGCCACTTAAGTACCCTGCGAGCACACTAAATCTGGCCACATCTGGAGAAGATGCTGATGTATTTTTTAATGGGATTACTACTGGAAGAGTGATGCAAAGTGCTTAAAAAGACTGTTTGAAATGTGCTACCCTACTTTTCATGGGAGCAGGGAGTGACATCCCCATCCTCTCTTCAGTTTGTGAGCATTGTGTGGGTACTGCAGCATGGAAGGAAAAAGCAATAAAAGCCAGGAGAGGAGAAGAGCCTCTACTAGCAAATAGTAACAAAAAATATAAATTGATTTTAAATGCTGGTCACATTCCCTTGAAATCCAGCCACCTTTGAATAGTCTTTCTTGCAAATGATGGTGACTGTGTCCCAGGGGCCCTTTGGCTCATTGTTACAATAATCCACATCTGAAAATTCCTCTTCTGCAGACAGTTTCAAAACAAATAGTTCATGGACACCTCTTGATACCAGGCCTATTAAGTGACCTATTGTCAAAATAATTTGGCAAATCAGATTTTCTTACGTAAAGGATGGTGGAAAATTGTCATCTCACTGTAAAAAACCTGACAATATTTAGAGCTTGACTAAATAAGAGCTGAAAATACCAAAAAGGAGGAGTACCTGGGGAATATAACAAGAAGGATGAAAACACAGAAATTAAAATCTAAATTGGATAGCAAGGTGTACTTGTTTCTGAGACAGATCTCCTATGACAGGGAAGAGTTTGCAAACTGTGCTGTTTAGAGAGTTTTAGAACCACTGGAGCATGTATATTCTGAGGGATATCAAAGTATACTGTCAAAGAAATGATGTGCATTATCTGATGGTAGATTTCCATTTCTGCTTATTTTTTGCCAAACATATCCTCTATATCTGCTTGCAAATGTCGGCACTTACTGAGTTAAATTTTGAATTTTTGTGGTTACTCATGGTAAATCTTCTGAACAAGCAGGAAAATATAATTTCCAAAGGCAATTGCTGCTCTAAGTAATATAACACAAACTTGCAGCTGCCACAAGATGCATTCAGAAAAATCTGAGTTGTTTGCTACCTTCAGTGCTTGGCAGCTTTCATGTCTTTTTAAATGCTGATTTAAGATCTGAATTGGAATAATTAAAAAAAAAAACCCCACAAACCAAAAAACAAAAACCACCAACAAAAAAGAAAGCAGCCTTACATTTGCAGATTTTCTCCAGGCAAATTCCAATCCTCCAGTTATGTCAAGTAGCAGGAGTGTTGCTGTCAGACCTGGCCGACTGGGCAGGAAATAAGAGAACAAGCAGTTGTGAAGAGAGGTGTATGCATCCAAAAAAATGTATGGACCATGAAGCAGAAGGATGGGGGAAGAGACTGTTATTAAATTAACTGTTCAAGTTAAAAAATATGGTACTGGTATTTTGAGCTAGTCAGAAAACTGAGGCTGCAATTTGATTGCTCTTAAGTTGTGCTATGAAAAACCATCTCAATAGGACACTGTCCAAGCAACCAAAAGCAGGTGAGCCTCATAAGGGTATAGTCAAAATGATGGCTTTTTGTAAAGAAAGAAAAAAACTGAGGTGTTTTGAGGTGAGATGAGTTTCATGCATACAGCTTAGTTTTTTTATTAAAAGAAAGTAGTCCATATCTTTTTTTGAGGCTTCCTAGCCCCTTTGAGGTTTCATGCTGTTTTTATGAGGGGCATCAGAACTTAAAATGTATTTTAACTGTTGAATACTTTTGGCTTTCTTTTTATTTGAGTCTCTTGAGTTATATT